ATTTTTTTATTTCTAAATATATTCATTTAATGTTAAAAATGTTATAATTAGTATATTTATATTTATGACTAATTTTTTTATCATATATTTTTAGTTTTAGTTTGTACCCATTTTTAATTTGTGATTCTTTTTTAACTTGTACTGTCACAGCTCGTCCCGAATAATTTTCTCTATGGCGTGAAATGACTAAAGTACCCTTGAACGTTTTGTGGGGTTGTGGGGTTTAAGCTTAGGATTTGGACCCATTTATTTATTTTTTCCTTAAGTGTTTGGAACTTAAGTTATTTTCTTGTTTTTTGGTTGGGGACCAATCTGGACCACACATACACCCACACACACACACACGTTGACTCTCTCTCTCCTCCCTCTCTCGATTTTCTTCTATTTTCCGTACAAGCGTACAAATAAACTTCAAACCTTCCCTTCCAGTCGCAGATCAAGGCTGTGAAAGTGGTCTTTATGTTCCTTGTGAGCTCATGAACTCATCTATACCCTTGGTTGGACGTGAAGACCTCATTTTCCCGAGAACTAGAGAACCCAGTTTTGGGTTACTGTTCATGCAGTCGTAAATGTGGACATTTCAGCAAGTTTTAAGGTCATAGGAATCCTTAAAACATCTTCACGAAGCTTGGGGAGTAACTTTGGAGTGATTTGGACGTTGAGAAGCTCAAGTTTGACGAGTTGCAGAGGTGGCCGAATTATCGTGCCTTTTTCCGGCAAGATCTCGTGGATTTAAAATTAGTAAGGTTTTGTTCTACTCGTTGTAAGCTTCATTTTGGTTTAAGTTTCATGAATTTTGGTTGAAAATTGAAGAAGATATGAAGTTTAGAAATTTTTCCCAATTTTCGGCAACAGCGAAGGAATCCGGTGACTCGCTGAAGAAGAAGATGAATATTTCGTCAACTTTGACAGAATATTCCTAACGACAATTAACGGCGTCATGTATAATTAACGGTATATGCTTATATTTAACGGAATATTCCTTAACGTTGTTAGGGAATCCGTTTGGTGTGCCAGGCGCGTGGGTGGTCGAAATTTTTTTCTAAAAATATGGGGATGTTCCTGAGGTTGAGTAGGTCACGGTGGTATATTTAAATACCCCATTTGAGCAATGTATGATAAATTATTTCCTAGTTTTGTATATATGCTTTAAATAACGTTTATTTAGTTATTTCGCATATAGGTGAGACATATCCGGAGGACGAGCGCCATCAATCGATGCTCGGGGGCTACGAACCTTCGACTTATCAGTGAGTGGGCTTTTGGTTTTCCGTATATACCTATGTACTTGATATTTTCTCAGAAAATAAAATTTGAATAATTATACGTTTTGAAATGCCATGCAAGTATCTGCCTATTTTATTTATGCATTAGTAGTTGCATATATTTATGATTGGTGCGGCGGATGCACAGGTAAGTGCCAGGTAAGTTTATTAATTAAAGATATGAGATTGCTTCAGTTATACGAGATATGATGTGATGTATTGAGAGCTCATAAACCTGCACCCCGGTGTTAGTGCTCTCGCCCAGAGTTAAGGCACAGTCCTTCACGTGATGTTCACCTCCTGCACCATATGCTCGCCTTGGATCCAAGTTAGGTGCACAGGTTTGTCGTACAGACCACTATAGGTGATTCTGACTCGTAGGTGACCCGCGATTATTCGCACAGTCTTTACGTAATCGTAGCACAAGAACATATTTATTTTACACCTAGTCTTGCCGTACAGACCATTTTAGGTGGTTCCGACTCGTGTGCAGGATTTGATATGAATGAGATTGGTTACGAGCTATATACTCAGCCGCACAAGTGACGTTAGGTGGATTCGGCTGATATGATATCTAGCATTGATACATTTTTAACTGAATTATTTATGGCATTTTATTGAGATACTTTGGCATGGTATATTTCTATGGATTTTGTCCTGATCATGATTTCTGATATAGCATATATTATTTTCTGGGAAATTATACAGGTTTTACGGCAAGGGGTTAGAACTTTTGAGAAATGAAATGATTTTGAAAAGCTTTGTTTTTGCCCACTCACACTTTCTGTTTTGTGTCCCTCCAGGTTTTAGGTAGAAGTGCTTTGGTGGCTCACGGGGATTTCGATGGTGGTTCTGACAGAACATCACAAATGTAGGATCACATTTGGGTGTTTTATATCTAGTACTTGTCCAGTCGGACTGCACTTATGCTATTTATGCTCTGATTGTATACTTCACTTAATTTCGCACTTGCACCTTATCTTATTTAGTACTCTAGTTGATTTGGTTTTTGTTGATTCACATTTCCTTACATCTTCATTGCTTCCGCACTGTGCACATGGTTACGTCACTCTCGCGTGACGCCCAACATGCCTCGATTCAAGTCGGGGTGTGTCATGTACCAATTTTCTTTTCAATTTTAATTTGTAGCCATATATTAATTTCTTTTTGTACCCATATATTTTAAAGTTTATTTGTATTTGTACCTATATATTTTTTTTGTATTTGTACTTTTTATTTTGCTAAATGTACCCATGCTAATTATATGTACCCATTCATGTAAAACTTTTTAATCTTAAAATGTACTCATTCTTAAATATACCAATTTGTTATATGTAAAATGTACCCTTTTTTTTATATAAAATCTATTCAATTTTTTTCTCCATTTTTAAACTAATATGGGTACATTATTTTTTCTTTGATTTTAAAGTGTATCCATGTCAAGTTTAATCGAAGAAATTTACTAATGTTATTAAGCCTATTTTTTTTTTTTTGTGATTTTGAAGAATGTACCCATGTTTTGATACAATAAATTTTTTGGTTACTTTTGATGAATGTACCCATGTTTATATATACACACACACAATAGTATATTTATATTTTAATATTTTTAATCCCATAAATTATGGTTTTTTTATATTTAAAATCTCATTTATATAAACAACTAAAATTTCTAATTTTTAATTTAAAAAATATGTACAGAAATAAATCATCACATTAATTTTAGGGACCTCGATCAAAAATTAAAAACCAACAAGGTTTTAATCAAATAATATTCATAACTAAGGACCGCATCCAAAGTCTCCATTTTTTCTTTTAGAGAGGGAGAGAGAGAGAGAGAGTTCTATTTATGTACATAAAAAAGGAAAAGAAATGTAGTAATTTTCGAGGGATGTCCAATTAATCTATCAAGTATCAACCTTTAATTTTATAATTTTATAAATAGACATATAGGTGCTCTGTCATGTAAATTTTGATTGACTGGCAGTGTACACAAAGACTGTTGATGCTGTCTATGGAGTTTTAGCTTAAAAACCAAGCATCTACAATAGTGGATTCATGAGTTTAAAAATCTAATGGTCACGATTCATCCATCAATCAGTATAACAACTAATCAGGAACCACAACTAATCATTTGTATCTAGTTAATATTGATGACATGCCTTTTCCAAATTTATTTTTCATACCATTGGCCACTAATTTCTTGGCCCTCAAAACCTTAAATGCTAGTTTGCATTTTCCAGTCGAGCTTTGTCTGTTGTCCATTGTTTTTTCTGCCATGGTTAATGAAATAGTGATAGTACTAGTGTTTAGTTTATAAAATAATGAGTATTTAGTTTACGAAATAATGGTAATACTAGTGTTCGATTTAAGAAATAGTTAGTTTTTCAGTTTACGAAATAGTGATAGTAGTAATGTTCAGTTTAAAAAATACTTAGTGTTTAGTTTAAAAAATAGTAGTAATATTAGTGTTCGGTTTAAGAAATAATAAGTGTTTAATTTATGAAATAGTGATAGTATAGTTAATGAATTAGTGATAGTGCTAGTATTCAATTTAAGAAATAGTCAGTGTTTAGTTTACGAAATAGTGATAGTACTAGCGTTCAGTTTAAGAAATAGTCAGTGTTCAGTTTAAGAAATAGTCAGTGTTCAGTTTACGAAATAGTCAATGTTCACTTTAAGAAGTAGTGATAGCATTAGTGTTCCGTTTAAGATATAGTTAATGTTTAGTTTAAGAAATATTGTTCAGTTTAAGAAGTAGTCAATGTTCAATTTAAGAAATAGTGTTTGGTTTAAGAAGTAGTCAATGTCCTATTTAAGAAAAATGCTAGTATTAGTCTTCATACAACCGAATAATGAAAATTTTCTTTATTTTTTATATTGTAATATTATTACTTAGTTTGTTCTAAAAAGAATTGAAAGAATATATAGTCAAATAAACAAATAATGAAATAAAATAAATAAATAAATTGTTTATAGAGTGAGGTGAAAGGAGAGAGAAGAGTGGGTGGGGAGAGGTGAAAAAAAAAAAGTTGATGTGAATAGGTGAGGTGAAAGAAGAGAGAAAAATTGATGGGAATATCTGGAGAGGGGAGAGAGAGAAAGAGGTTGAAGGGAGAAAGGAGAGTGTTGTGTATGTGTGGTCCTGCGTGTCAGTATTTGTTGATTTTTTTTATGTAAAATTTTATCATTTTCATTAAAAGTTGAGCTCTCTTTATTAAAGTTTGAACTATTTTATTTGTTGACTTTTTTTTATATAAAATTTTTGTCATTTTCATTAAAATTTGAACTTTTTTTATTAAAGTTTAAGCGATTTTTATTAAATAAAATTAGTAGATGATTTTTAATTAATTAAAAATTTTGAGAAACCTTTTTCATTAAAACTCAAAAAAATAAAAAACCTTACATGTATTTATAAACAATTAGCTACACCTCCTATGCTCTCAGTTATTTTTAAGGTTAACGAAACTTCAACCTTATTTAAGGACTTCGCTAAAAACCAATGAAAATATAATCACTTTGGTGTCGGTGGCAGCTGTCTGAGTAGCATGGAAAGGCCATGCACTTAAATTTGGCAGCAACTCCAATTTGATTTCGTGTGCATCGAAAACCCTAACCTGCTTCATTTGTAAATTACCAACAAAACTCCCCAGGCGTTACTCCCAATCAACACCCGATCACCCTCTCTCTCTCTCTCTCTCTCTCTCTCTCTCTCTCTCTCTCTCTCTCTCTCTCTCTCTCTATATATATATATATATATATATATACACACACACACACACACACACACACACACACACACACCCACATATTCACAGATCTCCACCATCGTCTGAGCTAGGTTATATATATGCACATTGAGAAACCAGCATAAACTTGCTCGATCAGGTACACACACTACCTCTTAATTTTCAACCTTTATACAAGTAAAAGTTCAATGCCATATATAGGTATTACAGTTTCACTGCATGCTTCCGCAGCACTCCAATGATAACAAAGGACTACTTCATGAAGACAGAAAACAATAACTCATCAGATATCCAAGAATTCTTCGAAGATCAGAAGAAGAAAAATCGTGCAATAATTTCCAATGCTGCTGGTTTTGATGGTGAAAAAGGTGCAAGTACCCCAAATGACTGCCAGCAAGAAAACAGCAGCTTAAAACCATCGAATGATATGTCTTGGTTGTTCAGAAAATATCTTTTTACAAGAAGTCATAGTAATAGCACTGGTAAATCCAACACGGAAGCTGAATCTGAATCAGAAATTGTCAAAAGGCATTCATCACCCGGCCCTTCAGTACCACCTATGCTTCTTGGTAGTAATGATTTTCGAGGAGACCGGCTGTCTTTGCTAGAGCGAAAGCTTCTTCCGGGGTTGCGGTATGTTCTCCTCCACATAGTCACCGTTATCTACGAGTATTATCTTGGAGTTGCGATTTTGACACTCTCGGTTTAGCTTTTGAAGCACTCGTGCATTTAATTTGTACATTAAATTATGTTATATTAAGTATATATAGGCTCGTTTGTAAGTGCTTTTGAAATGAAAAGTATTTTTGCTGAAAATGTTTCCATAACCAATTTTTAATAAAAATGTAAGTGTATTTTGGAAAACACTTGAAGTGCTTCATAGAATAAGCACATACAAGAAACACTCTAAGTGCTTTTAGAAATAAAAAACTTTTTCTCTAAAAGCATTTTTTCAATCTTTTTAAAAGTGCTTCCTAACAAGCCATATAGCAAGTACCAAAATCTTTACTCTTTATTTTTTGTTGTCTGCTAAATTATACAATTGAACGTTGATTGTAAATGTAAAATTAATCCTTGTACTTTTGTTGTGTATGTACATGTGTAAAGATGTGGTGATCAATCCAACAAGACTTCTACAACAGAGCAACTTACAATATTTTACAATGGGATTGTCCATGTCTATGATGATATTCCTGCTGATAAGGTGACCATACAAGTTCTGACTGCCATATTAATTTCGTGTCCTCAATTAATCTTTTTTTTTTCTTCCAAATTCTCAAATATTTCATAGTAAGCATAGGCCTGCATACTTTGAATGGGAATAGTAATTGACTATTAAACTAGGGCATTACGCATATGATGCATAAGATGAAAGTTAATAAGGAACATACCGGAGAGGGAGAAAACGACAGATGTGGAAGAGGAAAAATAAGAAATTGATTATTAAACTACCATCATGTCACCACCTACGCTCTTGCAACCACCGCCACTGCCGGCTTAGCAACAACCACTATCACCAAGAGCCGCTCTTTAAACATGATGTCCATTTTATACATTTTGCGCATGTCAAATTTACTAAAAGCATGATAATATGCACAAGAGTTGTTAAGAATTGGAATAATATCCATATACTCAGTGATTAGTTAATGCGGTAAATCAAGAATAAAAATCACTCTAATACTCAATCCATGTAGACAAAATGTGTTATATATATATGCGCAAGCACTTCATACATTTCAATTTCATAATATTCACAATGTACGTACCTATTGTAGGCAAAAGAGATTCTGTGTCTTGCTAGTGAAAACTCATCGTCCAAACCTCTTATACGAGAAAGGTTAAAGAAGGCACCACCACCTCTTAGACCGCAATTATCAGTTTCTAAACTAAGAGCAGGTTTGTTTTCTTTCATTACAAAGTTGCAAATGGTTGTAGTATGGCTTTAAGTCGTGTTTCAATTTTCCCTGTAAACATATATGTAATTTGGCTTTCAAACTTTGTAAATTTCAAATACCCCCCTATAGATAATTAAATTTTTATTAAATTTCTCATGTGACGGAAGTTTTTTTTGGCAAAATTTTTCAATTAAGTTCCCTTATTTTTCTGCCTCTCATTCTCCAATTCGTTTCTTGCTCAAGCTTTTCAAGGGTTTTTGGGTTTGAAAGTTTTAGGATTTATTTTGACATGTGATTCAGAAACAAAATCAAAGCTCAAAAACATGATTTGTGCCATTATGAGAACAAAAGCCATAGGTTTAATCAAGTACTCCTAAGCTTTATGAAGTAAAACCGTAAAATGATGATAAATTTGGTATTTGAAAAGTTAAAAATAACGTGTGAAAATTGCTTTCCTTACTAAGCGCACTAGTTATTATCGGGAAAAAGAAAAGGGCTAATTTATAGATGGGGCTGCCTGTAATTTTTTGGTATATATTGCAAATATGAAAACCTGTGGGTGCATCTTCTCCATAGATTTTACAAACTAGTTTATTACACTTGAATTATTTCAGGGATTCCAATGGCAAGGAGACATTCCCTGCAATGTTTTCTTGAAAAGCGTCGTGGCAGGTAAAGAGTATTCTCTCATCTCTTATACGTCATGAGTTTACGTATTTTGTGTGTAGTATCTATGTGACTTCTATCCTTAATTGACACATGTTAATAAATTTAATTCTCCTTAACTTTCTACAATTAACAAATTGTGTCCACGTTCAAACTTGCAACACATCTTCCCCTTTTCCCCTCCTTTTCTTCCCCACTCACTTGTGACCCCAACTCTTCATCAAGATCGAGAAATTTTTCAAAGTTATCGGTACATAACTTAATATATTATGTGTTATAATATAAGTATAAATAAAATTTTCTTTTAGTGTCCATTTATTTATATTATGACATATGATATACCGAACCGTGTTCCAGATTAGAAAGGAGAGAAAAGATAGAGAGTAGGCTATATCCGAACCGAAAGGAGTCCAAAGCTCATGCTGGCGTCAACTTGGAGGAGCAAGAAAGCCTTGGTTTTTTTTTTTTTTCGGTTAAATAAAAAAATTAAATTGGCTTTCTAGGGGTATCAAAAGAAAAATTATAGAGTTAATTAATTTGTAGAATTTTCCTCATATTGGTACAAATTGAGGACAAAAGTCAACATAATATACACCCATCATTTAAGGATCATTGGCTTGATACATTTCAATTTTCTCAGATTGCACTGGTTTAATACTTTTGTATATTTGATCATTTGATAAACTATGAGGGCTTTGTGTGATTTGGAAGTAGACAAAACCTAACATGTCAACATTTAACAGTTAACCAAATGATCAATCAAACCTAAAGGTTATATTGGGGTTATTTATGTGAAAACGACATGGTCTCCAATATGAAAAAAATTCAAACCTCATAGCCCATTTTAAAAATGACAACCAAATCTTGGGTGAAAAATGTTGTTTGTCTTTTAGAGGTTAATAGTCTTTTTTTACCCATAAAAATAATTAATACCTAATCAATTTACTTTTGTATTTACATGTATTGTGCTTTTGCAGGATCATCAACAAATATCCTTATGCCCTTCATCCTGGAAAACAAGAGGACAATGAGGCATTCATAAACAACCAGTCAAATGAAAATCATAAAATTTCTCTTTCACCTTTCCCTTCACGTTTAGGGTATTTTTATCCTAAATTATTTAACCAAGGTTGTTAAGGAGAATTTATGGTCTATAAACCTTAGGGTGCTATATATGTAATGATATGTTTACATTAAGGGATGGGTAAGAATAATTGGTTACGAACTTATCGTTTACAAGATTTGAACTTAAAACCTCTCACTTATAAGTGAAGAAGAATATATATATTGTTGTAAAATTGACTGCGGGTGCAGTGGAATAAATGAAATAAGACACAAAATTTACGAGGTTCCTCTACAGTCAGTGTGACTGGAGTACGTCCTCGGGGCAGCAGTGGTGCTTTCATTATAATTTGAAATAATAGGAGTACAAAGATAACTCTCTCTATTATCTCCTCTCATCTTCCACTATTTTCTCTCTTCCTCTTCCTTCTCTCTCTTCCTCTCTTTCTTTTTATTCCCATCTTTCCCGTGAACTCAGCTCACTTCATCTCCTCTTCTTCCTTTATATAAACAAAAGAAAGCACTATTCACTTTACAAATTTTCCACAAATGAATAGTGAAAATACTGTGCATAAATAGTAACAAACTATTCATGTGGACCATCCACATAATATTTACAACACTCCCCCTTGGATGGCCACAAGTCTTCGATTGACTCGTTAAAATCTTGATCTGTCTTGGATGCTCTCCCTGATGAGTATCTCCCCCTGATTTCAAATCATTTAGGTTGATCGTTGATCGTTCTGCTTTAGTCTCTTAGTAAGAAGAGTTGCTGAAAGAGTTGCTTTACTTGTTGTTAACTTTCCACAGGCTTTTTCTTGAACTGGGCTGGAGGACCTTCTACTAGACTTGATCCAAAGGTCTGAATTTACTCCTTTTATCTGGAGCGGAATTTGATTCAAGAGTAGTGAACACTTGATCTTGAATCGGACTTGTGATTTCTTCAAGGGCCTTCGAGGCTTGATCTTGAATGAAATTGGACCATGAGGAGCTTCATGTGGCAAGTGTCTTCAGTTTTGTCAGGGATGAATCAGCACGCGTTTGTTGCGCTTGTCTCCACATGCTTCAATGTATCATTTTCACTTTCCTTACTTGCTCCCCTTGCTTAAGTAGTATTTTCCCTGCTTTTCCCCCATGCATGTGTGGCATCTTCTCCGGCAGTATTTGCCCTCTGATGCCGGAGTGGAGTGCAACCCTTGCATTTGGATGGTTCATCACTTCTTGGTGACTGGAGACCCAGCTCCAACCGTTGAAGATGACTACTCGAGAGCAATACTAGGTAAGCAATCAGGAAAGGTTCCAGGCAGTCGGTTCCTTACCGGGAGTTTGAGTGGAGGTTCCGACATATTGCTTTCTTTATCCTTGTCTTTGCAGGCAAGAACAAGGACAAAGGAAAGGACAGGGAGATTGCATGATATGAGATAATCTTGCTCTGGTCCCTGAAGATATGTGATAATCTTGCTCTGGTGTGACATGTTTGAAGAGGTATTCTCGGAGAGGAAGAAAACTGATTATTTCGAGATGCTATGTTGAAGATGCATTCTCGGAGATGAGGAAGAGTTAGGTATTCTTGCAGTGTTGCGGGTCTGCCTTGTTATGGAGAACAGATGTCGACATATATAGAGATTTCTCAATAGCAAGTGGTGGTGCTGTGCTTTTACTCTTGTCAGCAACTGTGGTGTAAATAGAACAGTAAGATTTACGCGTTTTCAACTTTGTCAGAGATCTTTGACAAAGTTGCACGCGATATCTGAAAAGCTGAGATTACGTCTGAAAAATGCCAACGAATTTTATTCAGGAAAATCTGGCTTTTGAAATTCGGAGAGCGGTGCCTCATCGATCTTTGAACAAGTGGCTCTGCTGCCTATTCTTTTATAGAGACATCAATTGTGTTCAAGAGTATGCTCAGAAAGTTGCTGCTTGTAGAAATTTCCCCTATCTTGCACCTTTGAAATTTTATTTGACCTCTGTTTTTCCTTCATCATTTCTGAAAAATGACTTGCCCATCTAACATTTGCTTAGATTTGAGTCTTAGGAGTGATACAGACGAGCAGCGTTAGGATAATATATGGCGCCCGTCCTTCTTATCTTCTAATGGTCCTCTTACGGTTGGGGACTCTATGATGAAGAATAACATAACCGCTACTGTGGTAGCTAGGAATCTTTTCACTCCAAGGGATAACAAGATCCTTTTAGAACGGTCTGAAGAGTCGGCCGTTCAAGACTCCTTGGCTCTCAGTGTTCAGTGTGCTGGCTCTGTGTCCAATATGGGCCAACGCCTACTTGCTCAAACTCGCCAAGTTGAATCATTGATGGCGGATGTGGCAAGTCTTAAACAAGAGATCAGAGGGCTCAAGCACGAGAATAGGGTGTTACACGTGCTTGCAAATAGTTACTCTACGAGCATGAAAAGAAAGCTCGTCCAACTGCAGGAATCCGAAAGTCGGATTCAAAGTGATCACCAGAGGTTCGTTGCTAGATTCCGAAAGCAACTGATGTCTTCCCCTTCTGGTGTTTTGCTAAGTACTGGGGTGCCACATGATCAATCTCCAGTGCCTCCCCCTTCTGGGGTACTTCCGAGTACTGAGGCTTCACATGAGCAACCTTTGTGAAAGCTCCATCCCGTTTGTTTGTTTTAACTCATGTGTATGTATATATCTGTAATTTCTTGGAGATATTAATAAATAAGCTTTATTTCATTCAATGTATTGTGCCAAATACAATAAAGCATATACTTCACTAAGATGTGGTACTTCTGGACCAAATATTAATTTATCTTTACCCTCACGAAGATAAATGATTATTCTTAGTGTCTTCATCATATGAGTATTCAACTCATAATCTTCAATCCATATGGTTCTTTTAATATCATAAATATCATGGATAGGATTCGTGTTGGTAGATTGTTCAATCTGCAGCTCGAGACAATAATTCCTTCAACACTTTATAATTTTTCTAGACTCTTCAGGAGTCCCAATTTAATATCATCAACTCTTCAAGAGTTATAATTTAATGTCATTGACTCTTGCAAGAGATTTTAGTATGTTGCAACAATATCATAATGATAGTACTCACTAAGGCAATTTATACATCCATTGGTATTGAGTACATATTTTATGTTTTACCCTTCAGAGGCTTACTTCAAGCAATTTGAATCCTTCAAGGGTTTTCTACACTTCATGATACATTTTCCTTTGGAATTTATACAGAGCAATTTGCTCTCATGTATACTTGGGGATTTACCTATGGAGATATAATGTGGGCAACTCACAACCCTTCGTATATAATTCTCCATTCATATGAACTCGTTTACAACCTTGTGTCATATCATGTAAGTGTATTACACTGTATTACAAATGCCCATATATAACCTCATTGGTTCAACATCCTTTGGCTATTTGTATTGTATTCAAATATATATAGGTTCATTTGCCCACGTTCTTACAAAATTGTAATGGAATTATTTAAAATACGTAGACCTTTCGAGGTCAAAATTTATATTTTTGAATAGAGCTCGACCTCACAAATACGTAGGCGCAAACCGTTCATGAAACGGAGTTAGAACGAAGAAGTTATTAACGTTTAAAGTCAGGGATAAAATGGTAAATTTATAATTTCTAGAATGCTCAAGAGATTTGGAGCCAAATCTGGAAGGCCACGTATGTGGCCCAGATTAAAAGTAAGAAAGGTTAGGTGGTGGAGATGGAAGATAAAGGAGGGAAAGGAGGGAGAGAAGGGCCAATCAGAAAAGGGGGAGAGAAAGAGTAACCAATGAGAGAAGAGAGAAAGGAGGGGAAAGGAGGGGAAGGAAGTACACCGGATCCTTCGACCTGGTTCTATGTCAACAACCCGACCCGGTTTCCTCCACCTCTTCCGGTGGCTTTTCGTCGGTTTTTCCGACAAATTATACTACCAAACCATCTTAAAAAGGTTCCATGACCTCCCCTTGACTGATTCTATCACAAATTAAATAGAAATTGGCTCTGAAAATGTGCAAAACCCCACGGGGGGGGTGCACGAGTTCATTGGTGCGATCCATCAAATCTGAAGCAAACTCTCTCAATTTCCACCACCCATATGTTCCTTAAGAACCCAAGAATAAAGCCCAAACAAGTTTTGAGGCGTCAGAGCTGCTATGGAGTCGAATCAAGAACACCTATTTCTAGGGTTCCCGGCGGATTCGAGGCAAATTGGAGCATTTCCAAGTTAAATTTCCCTTGGTCACAGGTATGAAAGTTACTCTACGTATTGAGATCTTCATTCCTGTCATTTTTGGTAATTTTTAGAAATAGTTGAGTTTCCGGTGAGTTGGGGTGGCTGACCGCCAACCGCGGCGGCGGGTGCGGCGGTGCACGGCCAGGAAGTCGACTATTGCCCTTTATGTGAATTTCATCATTCAACTTATGTCTTCAAGATCAAGATTGCTGTGGTTTTGAATATTATTACGATTTTGGTATATGCTGAATTAAAGGAATATTTTCGGATTTGGTTTAAATTTTGAAGTTTTGAACTACGGAATGCTTGATCCCTATTGAGGGTACGTAGGCAGTCTAACGAGGACGTTAGATGCAGCCATAAAATAAATGTGTTTAAATATTCGAGAATTAGTATATAAGATGGAAATTGATCCAAGAGAAGAAAATAAATTAGCTATGTTTTTAGGTTGGGCCTACCATAATTATTTTTTCCGAAATATACAACTATTTCGGGAGTGGGGCGTTACATAATGGATTTAACTGATTTAAGTTGATTATATAACGAGCTGGCAAACATTGTGAGTGTAGAAAATATGTAGTAATTAATGAAAGAATATTAAACACACCATAATCATTTATATATAATAAATTAATACAATATTTTACACTTTATACATTGCATGGTAAGATACATGAGTGACTTAATACTACATAGAGTTCCTATCAAGGTCTAAAATATCGATGATATCGGAAATATCGGTAGTCCAAAAACACGGAAATTTCGATGGAAATATTGGGATAATATCGATATTTTAGACCTTGATGGTAACAGAGCAAGTTGGCTCACATGTGAAGCTTAACAGCCGCACGTGTTCCATGTCACCCAATATATGTTGTCCACTTGTTTGACTTGATAATTGTCACACGTGAGAGGGCGTGTGAAGATGTGAAGGTTAAAGAATCTCATGTTGGTGAAAAAAGAAACCTTGCAAGGACTTATAAGAGATTAAGCTACTTGACATATTGCCAATTAGTTTTATGATCAACCTCAACTTTCTTTGTTCAGACATTGCTGCCAATAATGCAACCATCCGCGAGGTGAAATGAGCGAGAAGTGGCCAAAACCAACCTAAGGAAGAATTTTGTTTACCGACCTGCTAGCGTCCAGCATGTAAATGATGGATTAGTGTTGCATAAATTTTTTTTATGAAAGTTTCGACGTTTCATTCCTAGTCCAAAACTATGATCTACAATTGAAGACCGGCAGAACTTTGAAAAACAAAGCAAACTTATATTGCTCGTCTTTGTGGTTCTCTAAATCCACAAATAGATGCTGGTAGCCTGGTATATACCTGTATGCAAGTAAAGACTTCTCCTTAGGTTGCACATTTGCACCACAAAAACTCCGAAACAAACCGAACAAATAGGCTAAGCAACACAACACAAAAGAATATTTATATAAGTGCAAACTCTAGCAACGATGCTTTGCATAAACAACTAGCCTTGATCCATGATTCAATTTATTAGTTTGTCTACACATTATGAATAGTTTTCTTTTCAAAGTATACTTGACTTTATATATCAAACTGGATATGAAGCTGATCAAAGTGCTATCGTACATCAATACTAGGCTAGAAATTAACTTCGTAGAATACTTAGAGCTAAAATTAGAGTGAAGGAAGTATAATTAAGAAAATTAGTAAACGTTAGTATAATTAAGAAAAATTAATAAACATTCATCATCAAATTTTCAAGCTCGTCACTTTGTATAGATCATTATTTCATCACTAACAGCATGTCGACCATATAATTTGATTTTCTTTCTATAAGTAGGCACATTTTTGAAATTCGAAGAAAGAGAGGAAGAGAATGATACATACCACATTGATGAATTATGTTAGTGCCATATTATATTGGGCCTCGTTACTAGGGCTTCCAGACATTGAGCCCATGATCTATGTAAAAGGGAATGAGCCCTTAGTCTATAAAAATGACTCCTCACTCTCACAATCAGTAGGCTCTCACATCCCCAAACAGAGGCTCTCATATTTAGAGCTCTTATTCTCACAGAGAAGCTCTCTCAAACTCTCTCTCTGGGGGACTCCCCCTCACGCTTATAATCCATACATTTATACAAAGAAATAAAATCAACATCAGTGAGGACGTAGCCCAAACATTGGGGTGAACCACGATACATCTTGTGTTCTTTACTTTCTTGCAGATTCACGGTCGAATTTACGTTGTTCCAAGACCCATCCAGTTTTGTGCATCAACATTTGGCGCTGTCTGTGGGAATCGACACGAAAAGCTATGTCGGTTCTCTGTCATTTTTTTCGTCTCCTCACCACAACCTCCACCGTGGATCTGCAAAAAACCCAAGAATCCAAAGCTTTCCCAGAAAACCCACAACCTCTCATTTTCTCTCATCTCACTCTCTCTCCCTCCTACGTCTCTCCGTCGCGATTATCGACATTGTTCGTCGGCCATAGAGGTATGAGAGAATGTTTGCGGATTCTCTCCTCACCATAATCTTTGTCTCATCCTACCTCTAACAAGCTATTCGAGAGAAACAAAGAAAGAGAGGGACTTCCCTAAAATATATACATATATTTATGTAAAGAGAGAGAGATACAATCACACGAGCGTATGGTAATAATGTCTACATTGGATCTTCTCGATTCGAGACTCTTCTCTCTCAACAAAGCGTTCTCCAGCCCGCTAGCGGCTTTCGTTCAGATCTAGAGACCTCTCTTCGCTGGGCCAATCCAAAAAAGGTATCATCACCCGCCAAACAACTCAGCGACTCGGACTTTGTTCGTCAACTACGCCACCAGCTGATCGTTGAAGCCATGGATCTTTCAATCATCTCTGCAGCACTGCGCCACCAGCTGACCGTTGAAGCCACAGAGATAGAGATTCGGGGAAGGGAAAGATGTTGGGTGCTTCACTTTGTTCGTCAACTCTCAAGCCTCAGCATATCAGTGGACTCGGCGGAGGTCTTAAGCTTAAAAAAACCATATGTTTCTCAACCCACTTATCTTACCTTCATGTCTTTCTTTCTGTCGGCTTGGTACCTTACAATGGCGCCGAGTCCCAGAGACCTCTAGCTTTCCCAAATCTCTGCCCGAGCTCCGACGTCGATGGTTGCCGCTGGCGACTTCGGTAATTTGGAATACGTGAGGCTCTTGGTGCTCGTATGAATCTATTTGACCGGTTTGCTAGAGTTGTCAAGTCATATGCAAATACATTAATAAGTACCTTTGAAGATCCTAAGAAAATCTTAGAGCAAACAGTTCTTGAAATGAATGATGACTTGACAAAGATGCGTCAGGCCACAGCACAAGTGTTGGCATCTCAAAAGCGGATGGAGAATAAGTACAAAGCTGCTGAACAAGCTTCTGAGGACTGGTACAGCAAATCACAATTAGCTCTTCAAAAAGGAGAGGATGATCTTGCACGTGAGGCTCTGAAGAGGCGTAAATCTTTTGCTGATAATGATAATACTTTGAAATCTCAACTTGATCAACAAAAAGCTGTTATTGATAATCTTATGTCTAATACACGACTTTTAGAAAGTAAGATACAAGAGGCAAGGTCGAAAAAAGATACCTTCAAAGCACGTGCTCAGTCTGCGAAGACTGCAACTAAAATGAGTGAAATGGAGTGGGAAACAAAAGAAAAAGCAGGAAGCAAAAGCAACAAAGGAAATCATTTCCAACTGCTCCACCCCATAATTGATGAACTGGCAAAGAAGATGCCCACACTTTCATCATGCATGTTCCCATTTTGAAAAACCCACCCGAAGAACATGCAAAAGTATCAAAGTATGAGAGACCATGCCTGCTGACCAAACCTGCCTCCACGTGAAGGTTTCCTCCAACAGCTGGACCGCTGAGGTTGATGTGAAGGGAGAAATCTTGCTATTGCCAAGTCCCAACAGTTTTTTTTGAATGATGTAATTTACTTTTCTTATCTTTTGGAGACATCTGTATAAACCTACTAGAAGGTAATCATAAAGAAAGAAAGAAGGCAGCATGCCAAAAAAAAAAAGGCAAAATGTCGACAAGCCCAAAATAGTGGGCTGGAATGTTATGTGGAGGGCGAAGGCACATATGCCCAAAAGAGTCAGGCCCTCTATTATCACCAACTAGGTGATCAAAAGTACGTCCAGTACTCCAAAATTATTCGGCAGCCTGCCGCTATTATCACAAACCAGATGATCAAAAGTACGTCCAGTACTCCAAAATTATTCGGCAGCCTGCCGCTATTATCACTAACCAGGTAATCAAAAGTACGTCCAATACTCCAAAAAAATCATACGTAAGCATCACTCATGTCAATTAGCTTTGAAAGCTTCATTTACAGAGCTCTAGCTTCAAAGCTTCATTTACAAAAGCTCTAGCTTCAAAACTTCACTTTCAAAGCTTCACCTACAAAGCTTCAGTGCATGGTCCACAAAGACTGCCTCCGAACAACCGCCACTTCGGCCCATACATGGATTAAATCTGAATTCTCCAGCCAATAGACTCTATTGACTGGGGGACTACACTATGGACCATATATTGGGCTTCTGCAACTAGGCTTCATGAAAAATACTTGGGGGACTTAGCCCATTATTTATGTACTGAGGAGCGAACCCTTATTCTATAAAAGGGACTCCCTCACTTTCATTAGAGAGCACCCATTATTCATGTATTGAGGAGCGAACCCTTATTTTATAAAAGGGACTCCCTCACCTTCATTAGAGAGCATCAACTCTAGCCCATCATTTATGTATTGAGGAACGAACCATTATTCTATAAAAGGGACTTCCTCACCATTATTAAAGAGCATCGCCGCCTACTGAGCAACCGCCTCGCCGCAAGCATCAACTCTAGCCCATCATTTATATATTAAGAAGCAAGCCCTTATTCTATAAAAGGGACTCCCTCACCTTCAATGCCACAAGTCGAGCCAACCAAGGCAACATAAGCCACAAGCCGAGCAGCCTCGCAACATGTGCTATTTCTAGTTAAGCATCATTTCACATTGAGCACCGCCTCATATCGAGTATCAATTCTAGACAACATCTAGTTATTTTGGCCCACACATGGACTGAATTTCAAGTCTCCAACCAAAAGACTTTCTTGACTGAAGACTTAGGGGACTACTGTTAGTACCATATTATATTGGGCCTCGTTACTTGGGCTTCCAGACATTGAGCCCATGATCTATGTAAAAGGGAATGAGCCCTTAGTCTATAAAAATGACTTCTCACCCTCACAATCAGGAGGCTCTCACATCCCTAAACAGAGGCTTTCATATTCAGAGCTCTTATCCTCACAGAGAAGCTCTCTCAAACTCTCTCTTTCTTTGGGGGACTCCCCCTCACGCTTGTAATCCGTACATTCATACAAAGAAATACAATCAACATTAGTGTAGACGTAGCCCAAACATTGGGGTGAACCACGATACATCTTATATTCTTTACTTTCTTGCAGATTCACGGTCGGATTTGCGTTGTTCCAAGACCCCTCTGGTTTTGTGCATCAACAAATTAAAAAAGGACGATTCCAAGCCAAAAGCTCTCTGTTTTGCTAGGGTCGAGAGATGGAACATCTATCTTATGCAACTCTACATTTGCTTTGCAAAGAGGTTGTTTCCACGATTTGGACTCGTGACCTTTCGATCACAAAAGAGCAACATTTTCATTACGCCAAAACTTGTCCTCACGACATTGATGAATTAATATTGTTTATTTTAAGTGACTTGGTCATGCAGTTTCACCCTTATTGTCAATACATAACAATTGGAGATTACACACAATTTCAGGGAGATCAACTATTTAGATTAAACTTTGTAAATTATATGACGTGATTGTTGATTATTGAATTATTACTTATGTGTTGATTAATATGTTTATTTTCTATTAGTGACACATTTTAGAATTTGTAAATTTTATCTAAAAAATTAGTCTACTTAACATTACTCTGAGGTAATTTACTTACTTTCAAAAGTTGACCACTTATATTCTGACCAACTCAAAGATGACCACTGTTTATAAACTCGAGTTAAGTTTGCTGAATATTATACATAGAAGTAGTTAGAAAATGCACACATATATTGAATAGAAAATAGCACTCGCACTATTCTTGAAGGAATCAAATTACACATGTGATTAATTTATTCTTGATCTGCTAAAATGGACAATTGTACATGTTCCTTAATCCTTACACTTCCAGGTAATTAACTACAATAAATTAAGACTTATTAACAAAGAATATTAAACTACACGGAAAACCAAAGGGCATTTGGAAGTCAAAGGAGAACAAATGATTAAACAACAAATTCAATAATTTTGTTTAGACACGCAAAAGTATGACAAAAATGACAATTTTGCGTGTCTAAATAACATTTCTCAGAATTCGATAACCAGTTATTTGCCAGGCGTAAGAGGGAATCCAATACCGTGTCTCCTGGTGGGGAAGACCACAAAGAGCAAGCTGCAAATGAGCCCTATACCAACTGGACCAATGTCCAAGACCTCCTGAGTCTGATGGTCTGGTGTGGGATAAAAGCACCCCAAAACATTCTTGTCCCTCAAAGCCACAGCACCAAACACAAACACAGACAAAACTGCATGAACCAAATCAATGAATCTTATCTTGTACTTGCTCAAATCCGGCAGCCCCGAACCCGAAGCATCCGGGTAGTCAAACACAAACAGGCCCTTGGTGGTTGCCAACCCGTAGTAGACTTGTCCGTCCAAAGCCTTGACGCTGTCGGTGAAGGACGCGAGAAAGCACGAGAGGGCGAGGAGGAGAAGGAGGATCAAGGTCATGGGGCGTGTGGCGGCATCGCAAGAGCCGTTGCCGGTGAAGATTGGGATGAGGAGTTGGAAAGCAAGGAGGGTGCCTGTGGGGAGGAGGTTGGCTAGGTTTGCTGTGCTCGTTAGGGTTTGGGAGATGGCACGTTGGGAGAAGGTGGGTTTAGGTGGTTGGGGGCTTTTCGGGGTTTCATCAGGTTCTGTATCGGAGGTGGAGGTTGGTTGTGGCGCGGCAGGGGTGATGGTGGAAGTTGCTCTTGGTCTAAGAGACATGTTTGCTAGCTACAGCCTAGCTGCACTAGGGTTTAGAAGTATATATATATGTATGTATATATATATATTAATTGTACGACCGCGCAGAGGGAGCGATATGGTTGTAGTTGTGGTGATCTTGAGATCAATTGTTGGTGTATTTGGATGAGAGAGACTTGGCGTATAGGGATAGCTAGAATATTGATTGTTGGGATGGTTAATTAGGGGGAGTGTCATAGGACTTATATAGAGAGAGAGAGATGGTAAGAGTTAGGTTGATGGAAAATGATATGATATGATAAGAACGTAGTTGTTGCTTATCTTGGAAGGTAGTATATCCATGGAGTTTCCTGTTAGGTCAAGCTTTTGACATCTTCAATGTTCAGGGGCTATCTCACACGTTTAAATGCGTAAAGTTATGTATCCGAATGCATAATATAATCATTTTTTTTCGATCAATATATGCACAATACAGTAATATATACGTCAAGTTTTCGATAGATTTTTAAGTGCAAGGAACGCGGTCCAGTACATAAAATATCACAATACAATTTATTGGATAATTGAAAAGAAATTTCAATCACTTATATTATGACAGTTGGTGTATTAGACGGGTTCTTGACACACTCAAAATTTTCTCCTAATTGTCGAGTTCGAGACTTTGAGTACAATAATATGTGATGCAAAATTTAAGTGTTAATTTTCTAAGCTTAGTAGTATTTAAAATTTTGAAAATATTTGAATCACGTTGATAAATTTCGATGACTTATTTGTGCAATACAGGTCATGATTTTCCAGCTTCTAAGTAAGCAAGGAACCTTCTGACGTCTATTCGCTTCTAGGTCATTAATATTTTTTTTTTCCTAGAAAGAACAATAGACTTCCATCTTAGAAAAATTAATATCACGCAAATAATAGGGAAGAATAATCGTAAAATGATAATTTTTTTTACCATAGTGTGATTTGTACTAGCACCTGCCTTTGCACGGTAATATTTCTCCCTCTTAATTATTAAATTTGGTATGGTAGTTTGTTTCTTCACAAAAATTTATAAGAACGTGTAGTTTATGGGGCATTCACATACTTAAATTGTTTTTTATTTTCGTTTTCTGGGTTTAAACACTCATTTTAATATCCACTCGTAAATCCTCACTCAATTCGGTTATTTGAAGATGTCTTTGATGGTTTTTAACTGAATGTTACATTATTGTATTCCGACATACATGGAGAAAAATAGTAGCCATGTTGAATTTCGGGCTTCTACATCACTTTTGGCAGTGGATAGGGAATACCGCGTTACTTGAAAAACCCCTATATGACGGTACTGGATTAATGTTCAATCAAAAGGTGCATTGTATATGATCAACCAAAACAAAGTTATCCATGCACGCCACCAATAAAATCGAAATAAAATTTCAATTTTAGACCTTGACTCTTGAAACGGAGCAAAATTATGATGTAGAGGACCATGTCTGATTCAAAAGTGATTAGTTGAAAACGAGCTTTATGGTGCCTTGTTAAAATTTAGTTAGGTAGCAAAAGTCCAGTAGGAAAAATACTCATAATCATAAGGAAAAAGAGTACATTAAAATCAAGTGAGTATACTTCTGGATACTCCCCCTAAGTTTAATAGAACTTCCAAATGAGAACTACAAGCATTGCATATGATAGTTAGGCATACCAATTCCTCAGACAAATTTCTGGAAGATTGACTTTGGCAGTGATGTCGTGTA